TTTCTGCATCTATTGTAATGGAATAATAGTTCAGGTATATTTCTACATATCTGATCGTTATTATTGTTATTCTTTGGTCAGTTGAGTATCTACGCTCAATTGTCAGGTTATTTCGCGACCCGGATCATGTTCACAGTTCTGAACGATATTTCAATGGTTCTTTAACTCGAAACATTGAATATTTATACTGTCTACTGTCATATATATAGTTGATAAACAACCACACTAATCACGGAAATGACAGAGCAGAATTCACGTAAAGGAAAGGTAAAATCTCGTCACACTGTCAAATTGTTTACATGTCTATCCATAACAATACAATGCTTAAATGCGAACTCGTACTCAGGCAAAACTCTACATTTTATTGTTCCCTTTTTAATGTATTTCCAGAGAGGTGTACGTTTTTAGCAGATTTATTGCTCACAAACAGACAAAAGCACAGTCATCAAGAACGCCGCCCGTTTTCTACTGCCAATTGACTTATGTTGGTATTTAAGTCACATCGACACTGTCAATGTCATAGGGTGAATCTCAGTAAAACCACCGGACTTCCGAATGCAAGTTGTTAAGCTTAATTTACTTAAAAGAAATCTAATTCAAATCTACGCAGTTGAGACGCCAGTAACCCTAATCATTTAGCCTCTGAGGGCCCAGCTCATATTAAAGTTAAATTCTTTCTTCATATTTTCATATTTATTTTATTACTTTATAAATCTTTAAATACTTAAAATTACTCCATTAACTGAACATTTAGAGTTAAAAGTTTGCTCTACTTTGTAATAAGTTAATACCATTGCAAATAAACGGTTTCTAATTATTTCTTACTTATTTCAGAAGCTTTAGGTGAACTTTCAATTTATTTTCAAATAAAGTTATTAAAATGTCATATTTATTAAATGTGATCAAAGCCTTAAATGAAACATACAAATGCATTTACAAGGGAAACATCAGCGAGGAAATTGTCTGTAATACGGTAGTTAGAGTGTATTAGAGTAAATCTAAAAAGATTGATCGATGTTATATATCCATTAAAACCGGCGGAATAAATTGAATAAAAATTGTTGTAGTTTCATATCATTGATAATCGATTAATCAAGCGAGTCAGTCTAGAAAAAGTATTTGCACTACCCGATAAACTGTCTCAATTACTGTGAACATCATTTTGCACCTAATAGAAAACATGACGCAAGCACCTTTTATCAATGAACATTATATCCCTTGAAAATAGGTGAACAAAAGCAGCGGTGACAAAATCAAAGCGCCACTATTACAAATCCTACAAGTTCATATAAATGAGAATTTACCTGTACGTTCATATAATATACATGTTTGGTTTAAACATATTTATTCAACGTGAACATTATTTACAAAGTACATTTTGGGATTGAACAGAAAGCTATAAAAACTTTTGATTGTCCTCTTCTATGTTTATCAATGTTGTCTGATTTGTCCCATTTAAATGGATTAATAATAGCGAAAAGAAATTTTAATTTCGAAATCTAAGACAACACCTGGGTTCCTTAAAGTAATAAGAACACATTCAAAATGAGTTATAGTTTGAACACTTACTGCATTTATACAAACACTAAAAAGTAGATGAATGGAAACTAATCATTCTGTAATAATTATTTGCACTTTTGATAATTGTAAAACGCAGCATTAAATTTCTGTACATTTTGCAAAATTAATAATTAATATTCTCAACATGTAGCTGCATTTACTATCATTGCAGCAAAACAAAGATTATATTCAAAATTGATACTTTTATCATCTATTTAGCGCAGTCGCTCTTGTTGTTGTCTTTTTTCTTTTATTCCATGCTAGAATAAAGATATATTATGCTCAAATGTGATATTAGAAAATATGGATAATTGCAACAAAGCCTCTTTGTAAATGTAAAATCAACATGTTTTGACTCCACACGAAGAAGATATATTATGTTTAAAAATAATTCTACACACTAAAGGTGGTCACACTATGAGAATATAGTGTCATTAAAAAAAACTCATTTATTTAAAGGAAAGACAACTTTTACTTAACCTGTAATAGTGAACACAGCTTGCCACATATACCCATACATAGTTTATTCATGCTTTATTCAAATAAGAGATATTCATAGATTTTAAGATATTTCTGTGTTTTAAATTTTTTATTAACAAGTATATCTTAAAGTGCTGCAATTTCACTTGCTTTTGCTTTCAAAGGATTTATAAATTTTTCAGAATTCAGTAACGATTTACGTGTACTCATAAAAATTATCTCTATAACATGATTTGCGGACTTCTTTCTGACTAGTAAATAAAGAACTATGTCTTTGCCTCGTATATTTAATTCATTTACAAACATCTGTTTTAATGAAATACTATCATCTCATCTGTTGGCCAACTGGATCCGGTTGTTCAAAACATTGGTTAGTGTTAACCAGTGGTTAAATTCATTATCCGCTGGTTAAATTTTGTCTGTTGGATAAATTCTGTTGCTCAAAACTTATCCAATGGATAAAATGCGTAATCCAGCGGTTAACTTTAACCAGTCCTATGACCACCGGATAATGCTCTTAACCAGTGGAAGTAATTTCAATTCAAAATTTGAAAAAAGTTGTTTTTGAATTTTTCTTATGTGTCACAGTGTGTCTAATGGAAAAAAATATCTATACTTTTAGGCTTCTGATATACTTTTTGTTCAATTCCAAAAACAAGAAAGCACAAAACATGCAAAACTATTTTTTGGGAGCTTTTTGATTCTAATAAATTTATTATTCATCAAAAATCAGCCATTTTGTTTCCAGAATCACTAACCAACCCCTTAGCATTGTGGTACTTAACCAGTGGATAAATACGCTATCCACTGGTTAGGTAGCCAGTGTACTATCCAACTATTAAACAATGAAATTTTATCCACTGGATAGCTGGCCGCTGGTAAAGGATTTAGCCAGTGGATAAGCTATCCATTGGTTAATTTTAACCAATGTTTTGAACAACCCGGTCCTGGCGACTACGGAATCAGCTCGTGCGAACAGTGCAGGCCAAGATCATCGTGGTCTGCATTGTTCGCTATTCAGTCAGTACATATTTTTTTTAAAAAATTCTGAAATGATGAATGATTTTGTCTTAATTGAAAACTCGATAAGTCTATTTAAGATATTGAGCATGGTAAGGGTTAAACGAGAGAGAAAGATAGTATTTGATAGTCACGACAAAACCAATGCGTTTGCGACCAGCATGGATCCAGACCATCCTGCGCATCCGCGCAGTCTGATCAGGATCCATGCTGTTCGCTATCAGTTTCTCTACTTATAAAAGAGTTGGTAAGCGAACAGCATGGATCCTGATCAGACTGCGCGGATGCGCAGGCTGGTCTGGATCCATGCTGGTCGCAAACGCATTATGTTGGTTTTGTCATGACACGGCTCATTTAACTTTTTAACTCAGTTTTCCAATCTGTTGTATACCTTAAGACCTTTTTGCCGTTTATCATTTACTTTAGTATCAATTAAGTACATTATCACTAACATGATGCTAATGAAAGTGACAAAAATGTTACACATACTACTAAATATTTTAAGAACTTTCTAAAAAAATATTTGGAATGTAATAATGATCCAACAATCAAAACGATATCACATTTTTGGATTGTTTTTTTTTTATATATATATATATTTCGAATAAATTAACTTATAACGCAAAAATATCACATATATTTTCATTCCACACCAATGAACTTCCAGCATTATACCATGTGATGTTCCAATATAAATCATTATGAGATTTACCCCTTTAAGAATTTATTAAAAGAAATTGGTATCAACTCCTAAACTCCATCTAGCCGCGTTCTCATTCTTTGAATTCAAAAATCAAAATCACATCCATATTGCACTCGAAATAACGGTATGTTTATATAATCTATTTTTTTAAAAAAAACACTGTTGATTGTGCGTGTTTGTGCTTTCTCTTTAAGAATGATGGTGTGCAATAAAAAGTTCATTACCATGTTGATTTTATTGGACACAGCTGCAAAACTATTAGACTCGGCCACGACCTCGTCCAATATAGATTAAACAGCTGTGTACTCGTTAAGAAACATCCAGTACTATACTAAGCAATGTACATCAATCTCATTGAATCTGTGAGACTAAATGAAGCAAAACAAAAACTTTCAATGTATAAAGCTAATATTTCATGATAATAAAAACGATTTATTTTTTTTAACATAACCTGATTTTTTTCTTTCCTTAGTTAATACCAATAATCACATTTGAATATTTTATACTCTTATTTTTTCTTCAATAATATAAAAAAAAACATATATTTTTACCTAAATGACTGTGTCAGTCGTCAACTATTTCTATATGTAAGGATCCATCTCCTGCATACAGTACTTTTTGCATGCGTTAAAACAAAATATACGAAGATATAACGCAACTGATTCATCATAAAAAATCTAATTACATTCTTGATATGTTATAATTTATGATGTAATTAGCAATAGCACACCTTTAATTTCGCTACTTACATGTATATATCAGCATGACTTATCAAAACACAATAATATTATCATGATAAAAAAATACAAAATATGATTATTGCCAAATTAACCTATAGCTCTTCAGCGCTTCTTATGTAAAATTCTTCCAAGTATAATTTCCAATAACCGTAAATTATACCATACCCAGACTATGGTATAATTTTCAGTGTTGAAGATCGAAGGAGTAAGTGTTTCTGGGCGGAGCTATAGGTTAAAACAGATACACCATTGGTGCGTTGACGATTTCTGGGTTTGCGTAAATTATACCATAATCACGTGACCTTTCTTATGCAACCTCACTCGACTTCGTCTCGTGAGGTTAAGGCATAAGAAAGGTCACGTGATTATGGTATAATTTACGCAAACCCAGAAATCGTCAACGCAGCAATGGTATATCTATTACGTATAGTAAATAAATAACAGCAAAATACGTTATAAAACTTCTTACATTAAAATAAACAAAACATGTACATTACCTTTTGTGATTTTTATCCGAACTGACGATTCTACATTGCTTTTGTTTTGTTGTTGTTTTCTTTAACAATTTTTTTACCTTAGGTATGATGTCAGTCAATTACAGGCAAAATGTTCTAACTACGGAGGCGGGAAGATTGTTGCCTCAAAAACCGATAGATATCTATATTTACAGTTAACATCTGTCTGTATGCATCGTTCAATACAGTTAACATCATTTGCCTTATTATCTTTACATTATATATACAAGTATATAAACATTATTTTAAAAGCAAGTACATCACAAGCAACTGCAGTACGTTTTGTCACTTTTGTGCAATTTGATTGGTTAGAAAAAAGAAGGAAGCAAAATCAAGAACAAAATAGAGACATGTATTTACGAGGGATGATAAAAAAATAAACCGGACTGTGACTGACAATTGAAGAATTTTCATCCTATCACTTATTGTTATATATCATACTTAATCGGAAAACAATACCTGTAAACTGATGCTATATCTTATCTGATAACGCAAATGGCTTGTCCGTAACAGCGAATTCAAAAACCATGGTAACGCACACCCGGCGCAGTGCGTAAATTCGCCTTGACATCAGGCGCTTTATGCTGCGTGTATTTTACAATATGGCACATTTAGATTTCAAAATACACCAAAACGTCATGAACCATATCTTTGACGTTGTCAGTAAAAATGACTTCATTTAAACCATACTTATATTTACAATCACAATTCAAACGTCACATGTTAACGAAATACTCGCGTTAAAACTATGTCGTCGGAATGTCTCGAAAATCGATCATTAGGAAAAATTTGTCAAAAGTAAGACGAGAAACTGTTTAAAAAGTAGAAAAAGATTATGGCTATCAAGGGAAAAGTTCCAGAAAGCCACAGCATATTTTTTGATAAGCATAAAGGATTAAGAAAGGATAATAGAGAAATAGAAAACAAGTAAGGGTGAGACAGAAAAAGGAAATTTTCAAGGACGTTGGTGACGTCAATCGCAAAGACGTTGAAAAATGACAGTCGATTGACTGCGGACATTGTCAATGATGTTCGACAGTAGCTACGGGACGGTGCAGTCAACTCTGAGGATTTTAAAATGATAATAGTTAATGCATTAATTACATATATTGTATTCTTGGTTTACAATTGTATCAATTATTTTTCTTATTTTACGCAGTAGTCTTATGGAGAAATTGTATCAACAATTTAACAGTCACTGTTCAAATCGGCTATGCGTTTTATTTATTTTAAAATAATGACAATTTTGATCATAGTTGTATTATTCTGTTATTTCTTTTGTATGTATGATACATTATCATTCAGCAACATTATTTTACATTATTTGTAGTACATAATATAGTTATTTGCATGTGCGATTTTTTCAACAATCAAGTTACAGAAGGAAATAACGGAAGTTTGCGTAATTACAGGAGCTCTTTATCACCATTTATTCTATTACAATACAATATGATACCCACTTGTACAGAAATATATATAGGCAGTGGATCCGCCGCATCAACAATATGACTGTACCACGTATTGGCCTAGTCCGTGAATGCGTAAAAAGCTGCTCCGTTAAGGACAATACGCTTGTGACGTCGTTAACGTCAATTTTAAAGTTATACCGTGCGCCGCATTGCTTGACATGTACACTTCAATAACAGCATAACTTTTTTCTTTGTTAATATTTCTTGTTGGTATTTTTTGTATCATTTAGGAGATAAATTCCGATTTATTTTCCGTGTATTTTTATGTAAATTCATTTAACAGGTAAAGGATAATTTACAAAGTCCGGTTAATTTTTGATCATCCCTCGTATTTCAGTTTAACTTTAACCTTTTCCAATACAGCGAAATTCATGTATGGTGGAACCCTAAATGTATCCCTTTCTATAATTGTTCGATATTTTTCATTAGCCAATATGATCATTAAAGGGAAAATTGAATCGTTGATTGTTAGAAACATTCATATATAATTATGTCTTGGTTATTAAAATGCTCTACTGATTCATTTGTGATGCCAAAGTTATATTTGAAAATTCATGCTTTTAAATGATTAGAATGTAGATTTGTAATAAATTTGTATAAACCGAGAATGTAGATAATCCTTTTTTTATTAACCGATGTCTTAGTATCCGTAATTTATTTCTCTATTAACCGATGTCTTAGTATCCGTAATTTATTTCTCTATTAACCGATGTCTTAGTATCCGTAATTTATTTCTCTATTAACCGATGTCTTAGTATCCGTAATTTTTTTCTCTATTAACCGATGTCTTAGTATCCGTAATTTATTTCTCTATTAACCCATGTCTTAGTATCCGTAATTCCGTAATTTATTTCTCTATTAACCGATGTCTTAGTATCCGTAATTTATTTCTCTATTAACCGATGTCTTAGTATCCGTAATTCATTTCTCTATTTACTTATGTATTAGTATCCGTAATTTATTTCTCTATTAACCGATGTCTTAGTATCCGTAATTTATTTCTCTATTAACCGATGTCTTAGTATCCGTAATTTATTTCTCTATTAACCGATGTCTTAGTATACGTAATTTATTTCTCTATTAACCGATGTCTTAGTATCCGTAATTTATTTCTCTATTAACCGATGTCTTAGTATCCGTCATTTATTTCTCTATTAAACCATGTCTTAGTATCCGTAATTTATTTCTCTATTTACTCATGTATTAATATCCGTAATTTATTTCTCTAGTTACTCATGTATTAGTATCCGTAATTTATGTCTATTAACCCATGTATTAGTATCCGATAAATCATGCTTGTTCCTTCAATGATTTGATAAATGAGTTAACATTCATATGGTGTTGTTTGAGTGTAGTTATCGTTTTTTGCTCCTGTTGTTAAAGATCTTAACTAGCTTTACTTCTCATCAGGTGATTAAATATACAAGATTACTCGACCATGTACTTCGGAGCCTCATTTTTGAACAGCCACATAACATGTTGGCAAACCGAAGGTAAAGAATGTACCTAACAAAATCATAAGGACACAAGTATATTGAATTAAGATAATTCAAAACTAAATTAGTTTTTACGCCACTTAAATGTGAATATAAAACAAAACTTTTTTGTATTTCTAACAGGGACATCTGCCGACTACAGCATTTGGAACACACACGCTGTATTAACCTGATCAATATACAATAAAAGTGGCTTTCTCATTTAAATATTGTTATAAGAATAGCTATGCATCACTTTGTGATTTATCTATGTACATATATGTGGTAAGAGACTATAAAAAGAAATAAAATGATTTAGTAAACAAGTAATCGATTCCGCTGAAAAAATCAATTTTGAAACATAACAAGTATTATTATTAAAACCTTTTGTAAACATCTTTATACTAATTATCACCTAAAGCTAAATATAATCATGTGAGCATGTTTTCTCTAACCCACTACAAAAGACGAATGGCAGCAGATGTTTGATGTTGTGAGAGGAAGTTTAATGTAAAAATTAATACTATTTTCCCTCTGTAGAAAGGTCAAAGACTTGTGATTTATGATGTTTTAATAACGATTTTGAGGCATGTTAGACGTTTTCGACGTGAATAAAGTAGTCTAGTAAGTGCTGAGTTAAAGAAGCTTTTTTTTCAAAATGGTTAATTGCTTTAATTAAACATAAATTGTCTGACTTATATTGTAACGAGTGGCACTCCTTTGTTAGATGTTCTTCTAAATGTAAACACTACCAATCAATCGAAGAATCGAAGAAACGTTCAAATTCGAACCGTACTTATACTTATACCTCATAACGTGCTTAGATATGTCATCTAATTTCAAACCCTTTATAACAGACTCCTGATAATAGCCGGAAGATGTGGTAGAACTGAACGACACTAGAGAAAAAAGTATACTTTGCAGCCGAATTGGTGATGAATTTCATTATTGTACATTTGTTTTAAAACTTAATTTTGAAATAAATCACAATATATATTTATTTTCTTGATTTAATTGACCATTTTAAAAGTGAAATATACCACAACTGATATGTTAAATGGAATTTTAAGGAATAGTGTTATTCCAAATAATGTAGACAAACTACTTAGTTAATGAAAAAAGTCATATTCGAACACTTTTACCTATTTACTTACTGTCTTAAACAGTATACTGACAGTCATCATTACTTCAAGTTTAACGTTCTTTAATATTTGTTGTTCTGGATAATCTAAACAGAGTCCTCTCAGGGGTAGTTAAACCTCTGCTAGCTTAACCCATGTTGTTATTAATGAAATGTAATATGATACATAAAGATATCAAGCCAAGCAAAAGTGTAAATAACTGTTCAAATGCACATAATTGTAATAAATTCCCACAGCCATGCCCAGTATTTATTCTAATTAATATTTGTGTTTAGAAATATTCGTTGCAGTTCTTAAGGCATGTAACTGATTTGACTGAATATTCCTTATTATTTGATAATCTATGTCAATATATACAGAAGTATGTCGATTCAAATATCTTAGTTGATTACATGTAGCGCCAGATCTTTGCGGAATTGTATTTTCAGCTGGGTGTTTGTTTGTTCGATTAACCGGCAAAAATCACCCTTTTGTGTATGTAAGTGTAATCATATGTTGTATACAAGATAAGTATCAGTTGATTAATAACTCAATGTTTATCGGTTATTTGCTCACCCTAAAAAATCCCTTGGTAGAATTATTCCATTACGCTATTTATTCATGGCATGTAAGGGATACATAATCAAATAAATAAAAGTGCTGTTAGCAGCAAACCCCTAGAATTTAATGCAAATACTTATAGTAGATATGTATATTCGGTGGCTACGTTTACAGCTTGTGTTGGTTTCATTGCAATTGTTGTGGGTTATATCTTCATTCTAAAGTAATAAAAATAAACAAAGAGGTTTTAGAGTAGGATTTTAATTATATAAGGCAAATAATTAAAGGACAAACGCATGTGGCAAAATAAATAATTAGAGTTTATAAACTTTAGAAACGTTTAATTGAGTTGTTCAAACGTACTATTTCATTATTTATTTCATGTGATGTTTGCATGATACATCTTAAGTTTTGCATTAAAAAAGGTCCTGCTTTATGATATTTGGTCAAATATTTCACTGTTCTATTTTCTAATATATTTTCAGAGGTTTATGTTTTTAGTAGATTTATTGCTTACAGAGATACAGCACAGTCATCAA